TCATCACGACTAGAGATATCACAAGACAATTGTGTTCGCTCACTGACTCATTCTCGTGAGACCAATAAGATTATGTAGTAACTGTTTCTTGGCTTGCATTTCAAGTCTTCAGTGTGTTTTTTTACTGCATTTCAGCTCTTCGCGTCATTCGCAAGCAGGGTTTGTTTCAAATGCCAATAGTCAGTTTTTCTCCCAGTGATTACCGAGACTACGATCAGTATAAAAGGAACAATGTTCATTAGCAGAGTTAGTATTTAAGTATTATTCACAAATGTACCTGAATCGGGTGCAATGAAAATGTAGGAATAAGGCATTAAGGCTACCAATCCTTTTATATTTGTGCAATATAGTCCAATTTGCTTCAAAACGTCACAGCATCTCTCCATACCACTAAACAGCGTTTTGGTAGAATTTTTCCTACCCTGCTCTAAAGGCAATCTTTAGAAAGGGGACTGAATAGGTGATGATATTTTCAGTGAACTCCCTTGGTCAACAATCGGTGAAAGTTTTTATTTTCAGTTCACATAAACGTTCAAGCCTGTATTTTTACAAACGCTTACGTTGCGATTCTGGGCTATGGTTAACAATGAACTGACCAGAATCCATTCTTTATCTGTTTTTTTTTTACCGTTGAATATCGTTAATGCCTTCGTTTTGTTATGCCACTAATGATGGGCAATCGTGCAATCCGTCCAAGCTAGGCTTTTTCTCTCTGCTCCATGTCGCCCTTTCCTATTGGTGCCTCCAGCTAAGGCAGAGCGGAGGGAGGGGCCTGTCGGACCACTGTAATGGATACAGAATTTGACGCTTATCCCTTGAGATCTCCCAACTCATTTCCTCATACGTCAGTGTGGTGAATGTTGATGTGTTCGTTGCACATTTCCTTCTTGAAATTCGGTAATCCAAATTCCATTTTGAGTCCTCTGGCACTGATCGTTGTTTCATCGTCCGCTTCGGATGATTCGGTACTTTATTCTTCTGGTCTAAACACTGGGTTTGCCACGTTTTTTGACAGGATTTTGAAATCAGATGATGATCCGATGAGCTCATCATCCGTGCGGTATGTCCCAGTGCACCACTACGTGAATGGCGGCGTGTACCGCGTCTGATCTCGCGATAATGTGTTGCTGCTGCTGCATTATGCAGCTGTGAAAAGAAACATGACAGTCTGACTCTTCCTGTCCCGCGGCAATAAAGCATGATCAAACGACTAAAAAACAGCAAATTACGAACGGTTCCCTAGCCGACCGTGACAGATCACCAAAAAATGTCATTACACATATCGCGTGCGGTCCGGATTGAGGTGCCCCCATAAGTTTGTGATTCCCTGTGTTTACACATCCGTCAATAGCATACCCATGTTCTCAGTGATTTGCCAAATTTTTATGCACTGTCCAATGAAACGAAAATGTATACGGGTTTGGCTGTATAAAAAATGAATTTTACAAATCTTGTATCTTTTCATCACCTCCACATGGCTGTGAATTAAAGTTTAGATGGTGAATGTTTGGAGTGTTATAAAATGTTTGTTTCTTCCGCACACAAGACCGATAAAACAAAAATTAATTACCCCTCATGGGTGAACCGCATTCGGCCACGTCAGCAGGCTTCAACAATTTAGCATCGATCCGGTTCGAGATATTTGTTGTTGTTGTTGTTTTTAGGGGGGTGGGGTGGGATGCGTGCCCAAAGCGAAGGCTGAAACGGTGCCCAATGTTGTTTTGAGCCAAGCAGTAATCTCGGTTTTGAGTGATGCCCAGTATTCGGATACAACCAATCTATGAACTTGACCGGCCTCGTGTTTTTCATGCTCGGATCCGAGCCATTATTACCTCTTTTTCCCGGCTGTATACCACTGCTTTTTGTGGACTCACACACACAAGCACACGTCCCAGAGGGTTCACATCCGGTGCCTGTGCGGGCTACGGAAGCATCCATAGAGCGTCTGTTCGTTTTGTAGTAAGCGGGTTTTGACTACTGATGGGATTGCCACCGTATTCTCTCTATCCACATGGACATCACGTTGCCACGTAGTAGGTTTGCATATTTTGTTCACTCATTTCATGCATTCCGTACGCGTCAATCCCCATAGTGAATGATGCGTATGTAGGACAATAACGATTTTCATCCTCCTGTTCTCCGAACTCTGGGCAGTAGGTAGCCTTCTAGTTCGAGGCAGGGTATTCTGTTTGGTCTCAGGTTTAGATAGTGCCATGAAACCAAACTGATTGTTGTTGTTTTCAAAATTTGTATACAAAGTTTTCTTGTTTATATGGATTGCCTGATGCTTCGTTTGATTGTCTCTTCTGTTCATAATCTCTCCTCGTACTGGCCAGTTGCGTTAGATTTTTTAAACTCACCTCTGCATATTTTGTGGAACAGCCTCTCGGAGACCCCTCTATGCTAAATCGATTTTTGCATCCTGTTTTTAAAAATCTCGTTTTGCATGTGCACTTGGTGCGCACACACATACACACGAGATGGTATGTTACTTTTCTGGAGGCAATTAAAGTTTTTCCAGCGATCGATTTCGGAGTACACCGTACAAGTTCTGTCTGACTGTCTGCGTGCGTAGGTGCGTGCATGCGTGACCACCCGTAAATCTCTGTCCGAGCATCATAAGTGTCGTGTTTATAAACTATCATCTTTTTTCCTCATATGACACGCAGTGGTGTTGTGCACGAACCAGGTGATCTATTTGATTTATGGGTGTCAAATTCAGTGCATATGATTTGACAGTTCACTCGCGGTATGTGGTGGTCGTGTTTTGGCTCTCCTCCGCGGAGAACTTGAATTACACCATGACTTCATTTGTGAAAGGTACTACACACACACGTCCTTACGCCTAAGTCTGTTCGCATTATATGTAGTACTCGTTGTTTCCTGGCACAATAGAATCGATGTGAGCTGTTTGATTGAAATTCATACGAATACAAATGTCCACACTGACTTCTCATGCAACACTCGCCAAAGCCCCACATTTGTAGTCGCATTCGCCTTCTCGTGGTGGAAGTGTTTTCGCACTAAAGTGAGAGCACGAAAAGCCGACATCCGGGGCTATAACCCGGGTTGGTGAACCCGTCTTTGCCACGTTTTTGACGTGATCTCCTCTCATTATCTACAGGTCGTAGTTGTGCTGGTGGTGTATGAGAGCACACCTTGTGCAACATAACAAAATAAAGTGTGACCTCTTACCATCGCATTACCGACTCAATTACGCTAAATTCTGTTTTGTCCAGAATATATCTTTATGTGCTAATACAAGCACGTTTTATTATGCATCCAAATGGGCACACATGAACAGTTTCATCGAATGGCTCGAATCACAATCTGACACACTCGCTCGCTCTTCCGGACCACTGTTTAAGTTGCGAATGAATGTAGTCCGTGTGTCTGGTTTCTTGATACAGTTTGTCAACTGCTTCGGAAAGTAAACATGCAAAAGATGATTCGATTTCTTAAAATTCTGCCTCAAAATTGAAATGGGATACTAAGGATGAATAGCCGACACCAGACAGTAGCGACGTTTTGGTTGTTGTTATTGTTGTTGGCTTTGGTAGTAAAGTAGTGCGGTTCAACATCTCATGCATCCATCACCTCGGAGGTCATGTGTGCAAAGTCCACAAAAGTTGCTCACTTTTTCTCCGTTCCATGTGATTGGTCGCTTCCTTGAAAGTTGACTATACAGTTGTCTATTTCATCAAAACTATTGCAGTAGTGCTCATATCAAGTTTTCATCAGCGGAAATTCGTGCTCCGATTGATAACCAATGCGAAAAAATTGATTTACTCATTACCCGGCGTTCCCGGACTACAGTCAAACCCATTCCATCGGACAATGTTGTACTCGAACTTGTCCACAACTTGGTCCTATTCTACTGGGAAATAGAACACTGTGCGTACACTAGAGCAACCAGATGACTGGTTTCTCAATACTTTGATAAAATAATAAAAGACAAGCGTTCTGATGATGGAGATCGCCCCGTTCGTGAATTCCCTAAATGCGATAGTCTGTTCAAGCGTCACTCCGGACTGGGTTGGTCCAGCCTCACCCTGCCTGGGGAAGTAGTAGAGGAAGTAGACAAATATTGATATCTAGGCAGCTATATCTCACCTGGCGGACGCATCACAGATGGAGTTTCGGCGAGCATACAAAAGGTTCGTTTGGCATTTGCCAACTTGAGACATCTGTGGTGCGGTCGCAACATCTGGCTGTCTGTAAAGGATTGAGTAGTTCGGCCAGTGCTGCTCTACGGTACAGAGACTTAGCCACTACGGGAACAGGATAAAAATAGACTATCCTTGTTCGAACACCGCTGCCTACGTCGCATTGCACGAGTCTGGTGGGTTAATTGGACGAGCCATGCTGAGGTTGGGCGTAGAGTTTTAGGTAATCGCAGACGTCCACTGAAAGAAGCAGTTGGCCTTCATAGAATAGGTTGGTTGGGACATGTGTTACCCATGCCAACAGTTAACAGTTTTTAATCATCGATTGCCATGAAGTTCACTAGGCTCACCATCCTCTGTCGCTCTCAATAATTCATTGCTTCTCCCCTGAGCGAGATGTGAGCAACGAACTATATTTTACAATGTTCGTGCACCCTTTGTGTGTGTGTATGCCATGCAATCTAATTGTCACATAAATCAAACTACGCTTGACGAGTAGATGTAGAACGAATTAGGAAAACGTTGAGGCAGGTTTCACATATTTCTTTATACTGATAATTCGCTGTGCCGATAGAAAGAAACGTTATCTGGTCGAATGTAATACGAATTCCTCTGATACTTGAATATCTTTCCTGTTCAGTTTACTTTTTTCTATCAAACAAGTCATTCGTTTGCTTCTTGTGTCCCTCTTTTTCCTTTCAGGACGAAGTCGCCTCACTGAGACATTTTTCGTATCCGGGTGTACATGTCATTCTTCTTTGTTTTTCCGTCGTCAAACCTAAATCGTTCCGTGCGCTAAGAGGTGCTTGGTTATCTGAACTTGCCGAGAGCCGAATGGTTCTCAATCCAGCCGCCGCACGAACAGCCGCACTGAATTCCCAGAATAGCCAACCAGTCCCAAACAAATCCCAGATGGTAACTTCAAAACCGAGCACATCGCACCTGAAATCTATCCCGAACGGACGATCGAAATCCTGTGGACCGTCTCGGAGCTCCTCCTCAGCACATCCGAGTTCTGACGTGCCTGGACCGGCTCTATTGTTAGTCGGCTGCGCTTGTGATCTGCGCAATGATATTGCCCAACTACTTGAACTCTCCAAACAAGGTGAGGAGCCGGTGGACCCGAAAACGGCTGAACGTCTGGCAGCGGAAGTGGGGGCTGAAGCATACGTAGAATGTTCTGCTTTGACTCAGAAGAATCTGAAGACCGTTTTTGATTTGGCTATCTGGTGTGGTTTACGTGTTGCCGATTTGGGCGGACCAGCCTATCGTTTACGGATGTTCAATGGGACCGAAAATGGGCATAGCATGCTTTCATCAAACGGCTTGGTGGTTGGTACTCGTTCCCCCGGATCTTCAAGGAAATCTGCCTCGCAGAATTCCAATCGAACACGTACGAGTGGATCGTTCCACTTGAAACCGAACCCACCACCAACCGATCCGCTTATTTTTGACCAAAAATCTTCAGATAGGAGTTTATGGCGCAAACTTTTGTGCATCGACTAGTTCCCCTCGCACTCCACCGGAATTCAGAATAAACCGTATGATGTACACCATTCGTCCGTATGTAAATGCCGCTTTTATTCAGATCGCACATCCGCATGACTTCTCTCTCTCTCTGTCACACTCATTCACACTGCTATCCTCAAAATGTTCAACTACCATGTGACTTTCACTGATTCAATCATCATCTCGTGTGCGCCCCACCCTCATTGTAGCTCTCTTTTCTGTTGGCACTGTTTGTGCAACCGATCGAAATGCATTCGCATAGATCCGATCCCCAGCTGATCGTATGACCTGTTTATTCGACGTTTTCGAGCTCCGAAATAGACAGGTGCATTGTTCCAATCTAAGCTCAATCTAGTCACTCCCCCTCCTCTGTGACCCCATCCCAAACCAAACACCTTATTTTATTTGGTTTCTTTGCCTCCTTCCCACAGACACACGCACACACTACTTGCATCATCCTAATTCATGTTTTGTCATCCGTTTTAAATCTATCTACTCCCGTCCGAATCCGAACCATTCATCCTCTCTCTCTCTCCCCCCCCCCTGGTGGCGTATACGATGAACAGTTTTTGTACAGCAATCCGTTCGCGTTTACAAGCATCTCTTATTAATTGGAATGTTCTCCTTTTTTCTTGATTTCTAGCTATTCATTATCTTTCTATGTATACACTAAATATATATATATATATATCTAAACTCATAAATCCAGTCTTACTCGCGTTTTGTGCTGCCCTGTCTATCTGGTTCGTCTGCTTTGTTATTTTTCTGTGAACTATTTTGATTTGCTGCAAATATGAATTGCATTGTGAATAGTTCTGATCATACCGATCCACTCAGTTATGTAAACGCGATTATTTCGCTATCTTTTTTTCAAACCTTCCCGCATCGCCTTCGCGCTGCCTTCTCCACTCCTCTGATGATCTCTATTTGTCACCCTTACTGGCACGCAGACTACACGTCTCTCTCTCTCTCTTGTGTTTCATGTGAACCTCCGCTTCCAAAGCTTTAAACGTTACACAGTTAGTCAGTCCAATTTCATTTCATCTGGGGGTTTCGGTTTCCTCCCTGACCAGTTTGAATGAAATCATTGTATTGATTTTAATCGATCCATAACTCATTGTCGCGTCTAGATAGATATATTGTGAAGGTAATGACTAAGTTAAGTGCCAATGTTTATACAGAAATTTGTTAAAAAAAATGCAAGTATCCGGGAAAAAATTAAAGTGTGGTTAGCACAATTAGAGCAGTCCTGATTGTTTGATTGTTGTAGAACAGAAAGAGAAAGCCGCAGTGTGAACCAGAGACTGTGTGTGTCTGTGAGAAAAGATCTAGTTCAATTCACGATTGATTGTCAATTCGTATTTTCCCCACACAGTTCACTTCCCGTGTCGAGGTATTGGACTGCCGTATGCGTTCGGTGAATACGTGTTCTCATGTCGCGTCTCGTAATCACGCAACATTCGGTCACGTTGTCGTTTTGCTCGTTGCAAAGTGTCCGAGGCGATACTGGCACTGGACACCATTGACCTTACAGATAGTGGACTCGGTGTACTAAATGTCACTGTCGGGTCAATATCGATTGTGGTGGAGATTAGGCTTTTTCGTGCCTTATCTTCTGTACCTAGATCCTGTGTTCGGGCCCAGTGATCATGACCTGCGTAAATACTGCTGCTGTCACCACCAATGCCACTGCTAATATCCCCACCAAGACTACTTCCACTGCTAGGAAATTCGAACGGTTGAGATGATGAAGATATAGCCGGTTTATCTGCACTGTTGCTTGTGAAATCACGAGTGATTTGCCCCTGTGGAAAAATACTGGAAAGACGTTCTTTTGGTTGGACTCTAGATGGATTTGTTGGGTAGATTTGATTCGACGGTTTGTGTTTCGGTGTTCCGCAATCCGTATGGATCGAGTGATATTTGTTGTTCGACTGGGAACTGGAGTCGTCCCATGGATCTTCTGGATCGAGCACTTCAGCCACATGATGACTATCATACATGGCCTCTCGTCGTTTGCTGATTACCCAGTTATCCGGGTTGGTTTGTGCGGTCCCGATGATTAAGGATGGCTTACCGGCTGGCGGTCTGTTCAATTGTGTGTACAGTTCTCGTTGATTGGAAGCACTTGATGAGCTTGGAGGATCCCAACAATCCACCCACACCGAGTCTAATTGACCAAGATGATTTGGTGTAAAATGTGATCGACGATCTCGTTCGCGATTGTTTTCAGCCTGTTGACGTAATTCGTCCCATTCCTTGTGCCAGTTACGCAACAAACTTGTCTGATGCTTAGGTGAATTTGTTCGTGATACGGGTTGACTGAAATTTGTGTATTTCGCCATGTATTCGGTTTTATATCGCCGTCTAGCCGGTCTTCGTGAACCATCTCCATCCATTTTCGCTGGCGGTGTAAGTGAACGAACTGGCCGTTTAATTCGAGCATCATTTTCCGACATGATCTGGGCACTTGATGGTCTGGCAATGATGGCCGAACGCGGCCTCGGTATGGGCACAATGTTCACACCATGTTGATTTTGAAGGCCGGTCGATTTCAGTTGTTCGACTGGGACGTATTTAAAAGGTTTATACTCACGTCGGTATTCCGACTCGTATCGAGCGTGGATATTGCTCTCCGTTTGAGCTCTTGCAATCCTGGCTGGTTCAGTTGCTTGTGCAGTTCGCGTGAATGGTCTAATTTCCGGTGTTCGGTATGCGTATTGATATTCAGTCCTGTGCGGTCTACCAGTTGGACTAGCTGAACGTTGTCTTTTTAGAGGCTCCTTTGATCTAGGAGCTGGGTGTATTGTGTCTCTCGGAGCCATCGGAGTGGCCTGAGTTGTACTCACTATGGGTGGTGGTGGTGGTTGTGCAATTTCAACCCTCTTTTGAACACCCTTTGGTTCCTTGTGGTGTTTGTGTTTACTCTTAGTCCACTGTTGGCTCGATTCCGTTGCACGAGCACGCAGTTCCCGCTTTCTTCTCTCTAAATCGCTTCGGATACGTTGAATTTCCGCTTCCAGTGCTCTTTTCGGTGTGTCTGTCTGTATGGCCTCATTTTGTCTAGTGTGCGCAGTCTGTGCACGCCGAATCGGGGCTGGCAATTGGTCACTTTTACTAGTGTTTGTGTTACTGGTTTTTGTCCCACGTCCTTGGTCAACGCGTTCGTTAAATCGCGTCGGAATTTTCGCATTGCGCGCTGGATTCTCCGTGAATCGTACCAGACCAGGTGATGTGCTTCGACTGCGTACTTTCAAACGATTTGGGTAGGCTATTGCCGGAGCGAATCGCGTATCCGAGGGACCAATAATGAAGAAATCATCTTGAGGCACAGTGATCATAGTTTGCTGTTCGCTAAAATAGATTGGATTTTTGTTATCAGTCGGATGTCTCCCGGCTATCAAGGGTTCTCTTTCGATCTTGACCATAATTTATATCCTCAGAAAATCCTCCTGGGTTTGTTATTCCTTGAACCGTCTTGTTGAACCACGGTCTACATAAGGAATGAGATGAAAATTAATTAGAATTGTGAAGATACATTATTTCGAAAACAAGTGGAATCGCTTGTAAGATGGTAGGTAGCATAGGGTATGTTGAATCGTAATAAGGAAATTGGTCAGAATATTGATTGATTACGTAGCGCAGTCTACATCCGGTGTCAAATAATGAGAGATTGTTCCTTTATTGGTCGACAACTGGGTTTGCGAAAGACATTCCACCGAACAATGTGGAAAAGTACAAGGCTACTTACTGGATATATACACTGAATTGAAATTAAATGGTTAGCCTTCATGTTCCGCGCCTCATCTTAGAATATAAAGCGGTTTGCGTCTTGAGTCCCTAACACTGAACGTATGCCATTTAATTCCTTCCAATGAGTAATATGTGAATGACTGAACAAAACTCCCCAGAAGCACGTGAAGGATTTCGCGGTTCTTGTCTCTTATTAGCTGTGCGTATACGGTGCCCTTCTGTTTGGTCATTCTTATACTTGAACTGTCAACGTGAAGTAGGCAACACAAATCTCACTTACATCTCAGGGAGAGTGGGTTCGAGAAGAACAATCCTCGAAGAATCATTACGTTGATTCTCTATTGTGTATTGCCTATTAAATGCGTCCAACTGGACGCCAGGGCCGACTTGAAGCTTTTTTTCCAATTAGTATTGCATGAACGACTGTCCAGTCTTTTATGTATCAATCATTGAAAAACATTGAAAGTCGGCTTTGACCTCTAGTTAGTTGAGGTTTTGGACTCATTTGATCCACAATACTCAATACAGAATCATCGCAATGAGTCTTTGAGGCTTGTTCGTCTCGAATCAACTCTCTCTCTCTCTCTGAGAGAGCTGCCAATGAAATTTGCGTTGCCCATTTTAACTTCCTATATTTCACGATAATCAATAAAGTCACGGGTGACGATTCAAAACTTTTTACCGCACAGGAAATCGTATGAACAACTTCATTTAAGCATTGGTTTTCCAATCTGAGTACGTGTCATTTGACAGATACATTTCACTACGTGACACGGGTGTCCTGATTTTGAGACACTGATCTTCACTCGATCACCTGAATTATTCCACCAATCGCAATTTAAGCGCCTGTCTCCTCAATGAATGAATATAGAGTAAAACCTACTTGAGGAGCATGATTTTTGATAAACCACACTCATCCACACCTGAGTTGTGGCAGTGATCGTTGGCTCGATTGGCCATCGGGATGTATTGCCCACCTTGGACTATTGACCCCATATGAACCGCTGTACTGGAGGACATCAGCCCCGAATGACATGCCGTTTTCACACAATGCCCCGCTGCCTTGCGTATCAAGGTTTGGCTAGCCGAGGGTTTCGGTTTTTAAGTAATCAAGAAAATTCATCCGCGTTGGCCAGAGCAACCTGGCAGTGTTCTGTCCACAAACCCACCATGGAACTTTCTCTTTTCGTATAAAGATAATTGTACTGTGATTTGTTTGGCGCACAGTCTGGATTCAGATGTGTGTGAAATACCAAAACACTTTTGACAGGCACCAACCATCAAACTCTCGGAATTAGACTGGTTCGTTCCAAACTTTGATTACAGTTTCAGTGGGTCACTTCAACAATCCACGAGGCAGAGAAAAATTCTATTGTACCTTGATCCATCTTTCTATTCTCTATTCGATGCCTGTGAAAAACATTATTAGATGACCTTAACTGCATCACGTGAATCAATTCAACCCCCCGGGGAATACCGCACCCCAGTGTGTGTCCAGCCTTTACTAGAACAAACTGGGGAGAATTTACTGTTAGTTGGCTCATATGCTATTTAGTGAGTCCACCGTGTTCTCTTAAATGATCGGGCATGCAATTTGACCGGTAAAGTTAGTCCCGTAGCCCAACTGTAAAGCGGTATCAGCAACGTCCAAACGTACATTCTAATCCCGCTCAGACCTTTGATTTTTGTTCTCTTTTAAGCGTGGTTTACATGTAAGCTATTCTAAATCTGTCACGGAACAACATCGTCTTCTGAGAAGACTTATTTTCCAAATCGTCCGCATTTGTAGTGTCAAGATTGAATTAGCCCATTTAAATTTTTCAGAGGCAACAGGCATTCCTGATGATGTTTGTTGAGGGTTTCACTCTTTGGGAGATCATTAATTCCCCACAAGTTCATGCATTTGCATGCGATGGAAAGGTTTGTGATGACCGTCACAAAGAGCACCGGACAGATGTTTTGTCTTGTTTGAGACTGGTCAGCAGTGCGAATTTTTTTGCGTCCCTGTCAGAAGTCGAATAGCGAACTTTCGAGTTAGGACTTCAAGCACTTAACCCTAAGCTGCACAACCCTATATCCCCAATCCTTTTCACCTTTGTCATAGAGGATGTTCTACAGAATGCTCCGTTCGATCTAGCCATTGGTGGAGTTGAACTCCTCTCAGGGAACAAAGTCCTGGACTTAAAATATGGCGATGACATCGACTTGCTGGGTGACAATAAACAGGTAGTCCAAGAAGGTTTGAACCGCTTGGCGATCGAGATATCCAGGTATGGTATGTGCTTTGCACCATCCAAGTGCAAAGAATTTGTTCAGGACTGACAGGAGCCTCTGCCTGTACTCATCCTCTGTGGTGATCAGTTGGAAGTAGACAGGTTTAAGTGCCTAGGGAAGTTGGCAGGAGCTGGAAGTGATGTTGTGGGGGAGATCATATCGCGAACAGTGAAGGTTAGAGCAGCTTTTGCCAGCCTGAGATACCTGTAACGCCACCGTGACATCTGACTGTCCCTGAAGGGAAGGGTGAACATCGCCGCGGTTCGTCACGTTCTGCCTGTACGATTGCGAGGCATTGGGTTGAGGATATCAATCGACTTTCTGTATTCGATCACCGTTGCCTCTGAAGCATCGTCCACGTCCGGTGGAAGGATCGGGTGAGCAATGACGAGGTTCTACACACAAAAATTTCAAAAACGTGTACGTTGAAACACAAAAATATTGTTATCCCATTTATTTTTAATTTTCCATTTTATCAGATCCGTCTTTTTACTATGTTCTGTATCCCAACCTGCCCTCCTGCTGTTGTGATTGTTATCACTGTTGTGTGGTTGGCACCGTGCTTGTCCGCAAACTGATGTTAAACATAGATATATATGTGTACAGATCATTTTAAAGCAGTTCACCAGATCCTGAGAACTCGCAGATACACTCGATTTTTAGTGACGTACCAGCCTTGAGCCTCAGTCAATCCCTATGCATGATAAAGAGAATCGGAAAATCATATAGAAGAGAGAATGACAGAGAGACATTTATCCCAAGAGATTTTGCAGGGCGTTGTGCACATCAACGGTGGATCGTCTTTTTCCTAATTCACCGCATTGTATACCCCGATTTGGGAGTAAATTTCACCTTCAATACACATTTCGATGCTTTTCCAGCTCAAAGATTACGTTTTTGTTTGTTTTTCACACAAATTCCACAGTTTCTGAACTTTTTTCTCATTTTTGAATCGAAAATCCGGTCCTGTTCACATCACCATGTTGGAGCAGAAAATGGTTTTCCTACGCCTAATCAGCATGCCCGACAACCCTTCGGTTTTGAAACGATACAGTTTATTCTATGTTTACATAAATACACACAGCGATGTAGGTACCATTCATACTACTACCACCGCTACCGTGCTAACTGATGCACAGACGAAAAAGAAATTGGTTTGGAGTTGGCATCAGTAATCAGGGGGGAAAATCATCCCAGTTTTCATCGTCAAAAATCTGAAACTCCAAATCCATGCGTTCAGCTAAACGAGCAAAGTACATCAGGAAGTCGGAACGATTGGAGTTTCATTTGATTTCGGAGGTGGAGTGGGACAAACCTCATCGCTCTGAAGAGATGCATAGTATTTCAAACAATGCGGATCAATACATCTCCTGTAGAGATAACTATCGTTTTTGGCCAAATAACTATTCATCCCCTTAGGGATTGAACTCAACATGAATTTAAGTATCCGGGTTTCCATCATTGACGAAATGCGAGAAGGAAAACTCTAATGTCAAGCTCTTATTAGTAGACATTATGCGAAAGGTTTTGCGATTTGGAAATTAAACCAATGCTGAAGCCGGAGTTGAGATTATTTTCGGATTCGTTATACAACTTTCACAATTGAACATACATTTGAACTGCGCGCACAATGAACTCTCTTCAAGCTTTAAAACTACCTCTCTCTCTATAAATATATATATATATACCACCGGCTTGAAAACAAGCATGGTGCCAACGTAACAACAATGACCGTGAAAGCGGATAGGTGGATTAAGATACAGAACATAGTGAAAAGTGGGTGAAACTACCCCTGGTCGAAGAAAGATGAAACCACGCGTATGCACAACAATGACATCGAATCGGGTGATTTTTATCAGAAAATTTGAGGATTGTGATTATGTGTTGTGATTTTCTACGCAGTAAAACATAGAAAATCATGTTTAATTAGTCATATTTGATTTATTTGAAAATAAATTCATCCAGAACGTGTTTGTCTGTATTGTGCATGTGTATTCAAACAATGGTAGCATACTTCGAGAGTTGATTTTTCATCGTCAAAACAGAATCGGATAATCATTGATCGATAGTCATTGAAACATATTCAATCTACATTGCGGTTGGCCAAAGCCTGATACACAAAGCTCTGATTCCGATAGCTATACACAAATCGGTTAAAATCGAGTTATGCGGAAGTTTACAGTTTTCCTCTTCTGTCACAATTCATCTAACCACACAAGTGTGCGCATTGTTTAGTCCGTAACACCGGTTAAGATCAATCAATGCATTTGAACCGAATGTCAATTTCTACATGACCAAACCGAGACCCCATTTGGCACTAGCACAAACTTTGACTGGCAGTAAGTAGTAGGATATCAGATAGGAATAGGGTGTGAATTAAACTTCAATGAAATGTAACTTG